GCAGAAACTGAGTGAGCTGTGGGCCCATGAGGTTTGAAATTGAAACACAAATAAATAAGTTGAAAACAGGCGAGATATGAAGTAATATTATGAGTAGAAGTCAGAGCGAGAAACGAAGAGGACGAGCATAGGAAAAAAGAAGTGCATTAAGTTAGATAATCACAAAGTGGGGAGGGGACGAGGGGCGGGACTTTTGACGAGTACAAGGGAGAGGAGGAGGAGGGGTGGGGTGGGGTTGGGGGGACGAAAGGGGTGGATGAATTAAAGAGATCCATGAGGAATATTAGAAGGGCTTTGTGATAAAACATAATATCATATCATTTTGCAAAAGCGGAAAAAGTAAAAAGGGTGAGGGACCTTGTATAAATTGATTCGCAATGGGTGAAAATGAGAAATGTGCTGAATCGATGCTATCACACTTTTTAAAAAGTTCTCACACTTTTTTATAATTATATGTATTAAACCAGTAAACAATACAGTAGACTTTGAGGAAAGTTTTTCTCAGCAACGATTTAATTTTTTCATGAAAACGAACAAGAATAAGGCCACTACTTGAGATCTTCTGTTTGTGCAAGGAATCAGTGTTCTGCAATTGGCCTTTATAGGCCATACTAACTTCCAAGTTAAATATGACTGTTTTTAAAGAATTGTTTGTTTATTCTGGATTTCTTTTTTATTGTAGATGTTTTACATCCCCCTTATAAGGTGAGAAGGGGAAGGGGGGGGGGTACAGAAAACTTAAATTAAAGACAAAAAAAATTTGTAAATTTGCATATGCCAAGCACTCTTAAGCTATGGAATTCCCAAAACTTCAACCCCCATTTTCTCACTTGTCTCTGAAACCAGACAACCCCAACTCTTTCAATCGCAAGTATATCTCCACATGTATTCAAGATAGATGTATACTTTTCTTTTTCACTGAAAACAAGACAAATGATCAAGCATTAGGATGATGCCAATAACTCCAAATGCCCCAAAACTGACTCACGACTCATTAATATTGTGTGTGCCTGAAGGAAATATGTCCCAGTTGTCGGAAATGTTGGACATTAAAGAAAGGGCATAATTTTGTTGCAGGTTCAATGCTGAACACGCTGGTTGCTATTATTTTCTTTCCAATATCTTGAAGAGTTTTAAAGATATGCTACATTTTGTAACGCTGGGTGTAAAAACAAAGTTTGGAGAAAAACGTCTTTAACCTTAGAATGTTGACTCAATTTCTAACACATTTTAACCTTTGGTGAAGTACGATAAATGTGTTGCAAAAATAATTAATAAAAGATATTTAGACTTTAAATATTATTCAATACTTTGAGTATGTTATTAATAAGAAATTATGGTTAAACGTGTGTTTTCTGATGGAACTAAACTTTTGACCTGGTACGATCTTTTTGGTCTTTTCACCCCATTGTTCAAAAACAACTTTGCAGACAACTAGGTCCTTTCTCCAGGCACACACACACACACACACACACACACACACATACACACACATACACACACACATACGCACACATACACACATACACACGCATACCCACAGATACACACACATACACGACATACTTTGATCAATGGGCAACTATTTTCAAGATCCCTCTAATGAGCTAATGGCTAGCGCACAGTCAATGACAATTCAGTCAGGGCTAGCAAAAATATTCTTTTTAAAGGAGCTATCATTTTGGCGCGATACAACAGATTTGACTTTCAATCTAAAAAAAAAAAAGTAGTCAGTTCGGTTGAATTGTACTAGTCAGTATCTTTTGCGCCTCAGTGGAGAAAACTGTAGCTGGTTCTGACTCAATCATATGAATTTGATTGACAGTGTGTACATGGTATTGGGGGATAATGCGAAAGTCGAAATATTGGAGATTTTGTCACAAAAGGAGGAGGAGGAGCAAGGGGAGCAGGAGGGAAAAAGTGAGGGAAGGAGGAGGAGGAGGAGAAAAACGAACAGAGTGAAAACAAAAAGAAGGGGAAGGAAGAAACAGGAACAAGAGGAGGAAGAGTGGAGGAGGAGGCGGAGGAGGAGGAGGAGGAGGA